GGCGCGAGCCATGTTTTGTTGAGACGAGCTGAGTGCTCAGGCCAAGTAGTGTTGCCTTGACTGTGAGTTCAGTACGTGCTCTTGAAGCTGATCGGGATGTCAGAGCAAATGCCCGTCTTCTGCGTGCAACAAGCTCGAAGTGCGGATGCTGAGCCGTTGCTGCGCTGCAATTGTGCGTGGATTGATCGCAGCCTGCGCCGGTGGCGCTATAAAAGGCGCAGCACAGCCGCGCCGCGTGGCTGCCTCGCCACTGCACTGCGCCGCCGCGACGCAGCTGGGGCGTCACCGACCACCTGTCAGCCATGGGTGACCCACCCTGGCAGGAGGCCGGCACGGCTCATACAGCGCTGCGAAGAGTATGGTTGGCTGACCTGCCGCCTCCCGCGCAGATGATTCAGTGGATCGAGGGGTTCCGGTGCAACGGGTGCAGGCAGGGAGAACCCCATTGCTTTGAGCTTACCGGTGCTTGCCACATCTGCCGTGCGCGGTGCCTACGGGGGTGACCACTACAGCGCCTCACGGTCATCCGCTTAACGGTGCTTCTCGTCATTGCATGCAACACAGGCGGTCTGAGCAGAGTGTGCTCGACCCAAACAGCGGCAGGCAGAAACCCAAACCAGGCGCAGCGGACCGCACGGCACCAATGAAGCCGTCTTTCGTCCGATGAGGCTGCAACCATTGCACATGGAAGGTTCAGAGGCTTTGTCGCATGAAGGGCGTCATTTGGTGGCTGCTGACGGTTGGAATCGGGAGGGGAGCAGCTCGTGCAACGGCTTCAAAGCCCATCAATTCAACGCGAGTGCTTTGTTCCATGGGTCTGAGCGAGCACCAGCATGAACTTTTGTGCCGTTTGCAGCAAAGCAGGGACCCAATTGCTGTTGTGGGAACTGGTGCTCACGGGGCACAGGTTGCCGACTGCTTCCAGCGCGGATGGGTGCTGGCTAGGGGTCAAGCAAGGGGGCCCGCTGCTGTGAGGCCGTCAGCAGCCGCGATGGGGCGGTACCGGCCAAGTGCTGGCAAATAAAGACGCGCATCTGGAGTGCACGCGAGCATGAGTGCTGACGGTCGCGTCCCAGAACGCATGCTCCCGCTGCTGGCAGGAGCTCAAAGCCCGCCCGCAGGCCTGCGTGGGTTGTGGGGGCAGGGTGCAGCTCAGCGCTGCGCCGCTGCAACGGGGCCCCAGGTGCTGCGATGCACAAGGATGAGGATTAGGATTGTTACAAGGTCCCGCGGTCGCCCGCTCCTGAAGCCATCCAGGCTCATGGGTTATGACTTTGTAGCATCAGCATTGTGTGACAGGGGCTCAAGTGGCCACTGTTCGCCGTTCAAAGCGGGCGTGCACAAAGGCCCCAATTGTGTGCTGGTCTGCACTGCGCACAAGGGCGCGCATGCAGGCAGGTCCGCGAACAAGGGTGCGAAGCGCGGCGCGGCCCGCAGGTCCGCGTAGGCAGGGCAGTCGAGCAGGGCATGTCAGCCGTTTCCTCAAGGTCCAGGGCGTCGCAGTGGGGGCAGAGGGTGGGGGTCTTGTGGTGCACAAGGGAGGGCACGGCCAGCAAACCCCCGCGCGCTCGTGGCAGGACAGATGATGGTGCGTGGCTGGTTGTTTACAGGATGGCCCATATGCACGAGGCCGTTGCTGTGGGGCACGCGGCAGCGCCAACAGAAGCAGCAGCACTAAGACTGCAATCGGGAACAGTCATGCGCATGTTCAAAGGGGTTGCGTGGGTTGTAGGGATGAATCCCGCGTGTAACATCATTCACTGATTTCTGTGGAAGCCGGTTCAATAAGCCAATCAACAGGATTGCAGCGCGCAAAGAGCGCAATGATTGTCATAGGAGTTCATGGGGGGCGAGCGTGGCATCGCAGCCAGCGCTTGAAGCACAAAAGGGCCAGGCCACACAGACCATTCATGCGGGTCGTGCCATGGCCGCTTTTGATCACAAAGCTCAAGGGAATGCTGTTGAGCAGACTACAGTGATTGATTCAAAAAGGGGTGTGCGCCAGGGTGGGCCAGGGCCCTGCACCACAACGCAAGCTGTTGCCAAGCTCAAAAGATGGT